TCTTATTTCTTTCCTTATTAGTATCCACAAAGAATGTTTCACTTAGTCTGACTGCAGTTTGACAGGTTTCTAAACCTGAATTCAGAATTCATTAAAACCACTGTGAGTATTTATCACAGAGTAGAAACAGAACATCACACTATTGCATAACATGAAAAATAAATTGAAGGCTGTATTGTCCCATACTTTAGGACACGGGGACAACATGCTGGATGACATTATTACATCTCCTACAGTATTTTCGTCTTCAAACTTCTTCATTTTCCCAGAAATTTGTTCTCTAGAACAATTAAAGATCCCCAATTATGTCCATAGGTGTCGGGAGGAACAGCAGGAACACTAACTAGAATCTTTTAACTTCATTGGGATGGTATTTTGTCACATAAAATAAAATTTTCAGGTAATCTGCTCTGAGAATAAGATACCGTTTATGTGTGGGAAAGTGCAACTGAACTAGCTTAATTTTTACTTCAGCCACAGCAGAATAGCTTAAGTATATATTGCATGCTTGTACTTATGCATATTTTCCATTTTGCCATGGTACTTCTCAAAATTTAACAGCATTCAACTCTGTTCAAGGTAAGTGGTGGTAATTTTCATGTAAAGTTACGGGAAAGTCATATGAAAAGACAACAAAGTAATGCAAATCAAGAAGTGGTTTCATAACAGTTTGTGTTAGAAATTATGAAGAACTGTAGTCTGACAACAGGCAATCTGTTAGCAGTCCCTGTCTTACAGACTTGCTTCTCTCTAAATACTGAGAGTAAAGGGAAGTGCTTCTGCATACCAAAATAATTAGCTTAATGAAAACTAAAAAAAAAAAAAAATTAAACCCCCCAGTCTTATTGTTAGGGAGCACCCAATATACCACCTTTACTTTGGTACATGTAAGCTCCTTCCAAAATATATACACGAGCTATGGCTATTCTGGGAAGGTCACAAAGTTGTATATGCTGTATTCTACCCCTTTAAACAGACCAGCTCTCTTCAGTAGCGATTTAAACACCAGTAACTAATTTTAGGTATTACAGAAAAGAAAATCTTGGCAGGCATGTGCCATTCATTGTATTTAGTTATTTTATTTTCACTATCCAAACTCGAAACACACAGTTAAGTTTCAGGTATCGATACACAGTTTTCTAAAAAATATCCCCTTTCATGTTCTCTTCAATAAACCACGTGTTTAAATGCTTGCAGTCCAACCATAAGTAGCAGGTGTCTTCTTCCCCAGGCACCCCCAAAGGGACTTGTTCTACTTTAATATAAAGTGTTGTAAACCTCTTATTCAAAAAGCAAAATTCAGAAAAAACTCCTTAGCAAAAAACCTTTTCAAAACTGCTGTCTGGCATGGCACAACCTTAAGCAGTTTCCTTTGGTATACTAATTCTTGTATTTTTCAGTCAGGTTACATCTCTGAGTATTTCAGATTTAAGGCAGACGATACACAGTTTAGAAATACATTAGCACATATTTCTCATGGTATGGCATTTTCAGTAGACATCAGTTTTTCATAAATCATTGTGCATTTCACATTTCAGAAAGCTTCTTCAGTGTTGAACATCAGCCTTTTTCCATCAGTCTTGTTGTTCTTCTACACTTCTACTTTTGCTCTCAGAACTCCATCCTCCAGGTGTTTGTGATCATACATTCCTGAAAAGCTTGCTTTCTTTACACAAGAGTTACATTTCTTCATACTTCATACAGTAACATCTTTTCGCATTCATTTCAAGGCAGCTGGTCAACATCTCAACTAAATGCATCAATTAAAACTTAATTTCTGGAAAAAATTAAAATAATTTCTACATATCTTTTTACAGTTATATTCATCTGTACATTTAGTAACAATTTTCTCAACTACGGAAGCTTTTAATCAATACTAGGACTTGACAAGAATATGGGTTTCTTTTCCTGAAAATTCATTCCTCCTTTGGCTTATTACATGACTGTTGCAAGGTTGTGGAATATATTTAAAAACTAATATTGAAACTTAACATATTTGTACTGATAGACAACAAACCAATATTATACTAGACAATACTTGTTTGCAGAGACTCTATAAGATATATTGTGCACTTAGAGAAAAATTCTTTCACTTCAAATACAAGTGCAAAGCAGTAGTTAATATTTCAATTCTACATCATAGCAGCAGTCATGTATGCATAAACCAGCACTTTTTCTAAAAAAAAAAAAAATCACAGCATTTTGGGTAGCATAATAATTACACTGAAGTATGACAAATGCAATGCCAACTGAAGAAAGTTTCTAAAACAAGGAATTGAGTCTGTTAATACAAAGGCTATATAAAAATATGGCATTATACAATGCTACTGTAGATCTGAGAGCTTTTGAAATGCAGTGTTTTTTGTTTGGTTTTTTTTTAAAAAAGGTTACTACAATTGGCAGTAGCAAATTCAGCAAAAACACTGCATTTACATCTGCAACAGCTTTTTGAGAAAACCATTTGGTCTGCTCCAGGACCTAAGCATTGATGCTGCAGATGATCACACATCCCCCAAGAGTCCTAAGCACTACTTGGTCCTATTCACCCAGCTAAGAATACTCATCCCAAATGATCAAGCCCTTTGCACAGACAGACTTGTTACAAAAGACTATATGCTCCTGACCAACAGCACAAAATTATACTGCAGTGTGAAGATATGGCTTTCTCTAAAAATCATAAAGTATTAAAGTAAAAAAAAAAATCACAAGACACTTAAAAATCATCCTTGAGTTCAACACTATATTTATGCAATCAAATAGACTATGTAATCCGTCATACTGTAGTAGAACAAGAAAAAGACTTTTTATTCACTTGAAAAAAATAGCAGACTGGAAGATTTCTTCATTGCATTACACAAACTTCCCTGAGATTTTTACATAAATTATATTTAGTCTACTATATATCAGAAACCAGTTAGCTACTGAGTGTCATACACTGCAAATTTTACATAATTCCTGCATATGTTATCCAGCTAAAATGCTGTTTCAATGCTTTAAAGCTTTATCTTCTTTTGTTGCAAAAACCACATACACACAACTGAGACTACAAAAGCAGACATTTTTTTCACAAAATTTTAAATCTTCAAAGCAATGTATAGAAATGGAGAAAACAGATGTTAAGTTGAACAAAGCTCTTTGAAGTTCTTTGCAGCTTGAAAACTGACTGTGAAATTAGTTTTAAAAATTATCTATGCAAGTGCTTGGTGGCAAGAAAACCAACAGAAATATTATTAAATGCAATAGGCAGAAAGAGGGCTGATGCTGCCCTCCCTATTTAGCAATCTCCTGTATCATAAAAACATAATTTTGTATGAGTGATTGTGGGAGAGATACATCACAGTGGTACAAAACATTGCTATACTGGCACTATGTTACACTAAGTAAGGATTTTTTTTTTTTCCTAAAGTTGAGGTACTTAAACTTCTCATAAGATGGATGTAGTTAATCACAAATCTTAAGGAGGCCCCACAGTGAAAGTAGCTCCTCTGTTTCACTGACTCACTACCACAAATTTTAAAAATGAACACTTCATTTTAAATACAAATCTGGATGTCAGGTCAGTTTGCCAAGTTGTATATCCCCTTAATTGAACTTCTCTCAGCAAAAGTCCAAGAAGAACAAGCATTGTACTTTGCAAACAATAATGCTTAAGAATAAGTAAAAACAAACAAGCAAACAGATTATTTGAGCTAAAAACAAACAAAACCTGCAACTTTACTGCTTTGAGATATGAGATTATCCCCAAGTTTTATGCCCGGAGGCAAAACCGAAGAGTTGTCTTGTCCATAGATCTTTGTTAGACTTATTTCAAAAGCCAAATTATATAGCTTAAGTAACCTGTTCAGGTGCCTCTGATCTTCTTCCAGTTCTCAGTAACTGGGATCATGTCCTTGTCCCCCGCTGAGTGTGGAGCAATTGCACTTGTAATTCCTCCTTCCAAATAGTCTTACGTTGGGTATTACCATAGAAATAAACAGGAGGTAACTTGCGCCACTTCATTACAAAATAGACTTGATGTGGTTGTGACTGGCCGTATCAGATACTGGGCCATAAGCATTCTTTTTTGTGTACTGGAAAGAATGTATAAGGTGATCATCTTAACAGCAAAGTGAGGAACTGTGAAATGGAGGGCATTTTCTAGATTTTTAATTCTGCTTTAAAAAGTTCCCAATTTACAGATACACTTATGACTGTGTGAAAATTTCAAAGATGGAAAGAATAAAAGAGCAGCATTTAAAAAGCAGTATGTTTAGCTTTTTCATATTCGGAAACAAACTGAAGACACTGTCTTGTATAAAATGGCTTCATTTCTACTTGTTATCACTGTATCTTCAGTTATATAAAGGGAATCTAATACTCAACAGAGGTAAAGAAGAGTAAGAAAAACTGGATGTTTGCTTTTTCATTTTATATTAAAATTTTCACATGGATGAGTAGGTTTTCTGGCTCTCCAAATTAAGAATAATTTGCTCCCTTTCCCTTGAAATACTTATAGTACATCACACAGCCTACTATCTCTTTGCATATATTGCTGGCTGATAACTGATTCAGACAGGCACATTAAAAGTTTCTGGGTTACATAACCACTTCCATTTTGTTATACAGAGAAGCCTTTTCTGCATCAACAATGAAAAGATTATAAAACTGTATTAACACAAGCCCTTGTGCAACACACAAAACAGGGTGCCAAGTCACTATATACTCAGTGTGAAAAGACTTTTAGCAGTCTTTTCTGTGCATCTCCATTTCAACAAGGAAATACACTGTCTTTTCATCTCTTAATCTCACCACATATTAAGTCACCTCTTTTTTGCATTGCCAAGTAAGGCAAATAACGGTGTTGTAGACTGACCATATATTAGATTATTTTATTTAGAAAAATAATTTCTCTCCCTATTGAGAATTTCAACATGTTCTCATAGTAGCAAATATATCCTGATAAAGAAAACCAGCAGGATTCCTCAGTATGCAGATGAGATAGGATATTTGCCACACAGATATTACTTCCAGCAAAGGTAAGATGCACATGTGTACGTATGTCAATTATACACAGCAGACCAAGTACAGTTTGTTCTGCATTCCAACACATCCTCTGAAGGTGGGACAGTTTTCTCATCCACCCATGTTGTCCCTTATATGATCCACTCGCTGAGCAAGATCCCTAAAGGTGGGGCGCTGGGTAACATTATTGTTCCAGCATTCTTTCATGATAGCATAAATCTGGAGAAGAAACAAAGAAAATCAGTAGCAGGTAAACAGATGCTACAAACAGTTAATAGTTACTTTCAACTGGTCCAAAGAACATCCAGCTTAAATTTATGCTTCCAAGCAACAGTGGCACAAGAGTGTGCCTAAAGTCTTGCTATACCAATCAGTTTAGCTTGATCCCAATAACAGCAAGAAGTGAGGATAGCTAGCTCTGCAAAAGCCCTTATTATGAAAGGAGATTTTTTTTTTTTTTAAGTTAGTATGGAAATTTACTCAGGTAGTTTTTGAAACTTTCGAGAGACTTATGTTACTTTGCTAAGTTTTTATCTTCTTGCTTGCTCTTATTTTTTGGAAAGCTCAAAGTTTAACATGAAAAATGCTTTACAAGTCTGACCAAAAATCAGATTTACAAAGCCAGCAATTCTAAATTAAGCTTCTCCTGCAATGTTAACATACACTTCTCCACAGTTGTATATTAAATTCTTAATTGTTCTTCATATATAATCAGAAATAAGCCAGAAAAGTTACTGCGCAAACTGAATCCACTTCTAGTAGAAGTATTTATATGATTTTTGGAAGAGATTTCCATTACAATAGGCATTTGGCAACAGTCTTCTGTTTTCCCAAACATGTACCCAATACCTGGTCACAAAACAACTTGCCAAGCTCTTCCCTTACGCTATTCTCACTAATTTAACCCAGATCATTATTACCACCTTCTCATACTTCGAACAATTTTTTACATGTTGCTTAAAACAATCTGCACAGCTGCCAAGAAAAAAAATTTGCATCAGTTCCTTATTTTTTAGCAAATCTGAAACTCCTGCATTGACCAAGCTGCTTTAGACCCAAGTCTCAAGCAGCTTGTAAGCTACAGACATCTGGAAGATTTAATATCTGTGATGACTGGCCTTTCAGGATCAAAACGGGAAGAGCACAGTTTCTGACAAGAGAGAGACATTTCCACTTTGCTTGGTATCTGAAGAAATGTCAGACATTGAAACCTTTGCATTAATTTGGATACAGTTTCAGTAAAACAGATTATGTATTATCGTATACATCTGATATTCAGGTTACCTACAAAAAGCCAAACCTTTGCAATTCAACAATTGCTGTATTCATACATATAATGTGAGAAAGGTTACTTCAGAGACTTCTCTTTGGATTCGCTATAGAGTGTTTCTTCCCCCATGGCTTCCCTGCCCCACCTGTACCATTCTTTCTCTTCTCTGCTAGACCACTTGACCCTGATCTCTCCCGTCTCCAGTTTTGAATGATTGCTTCTTGACTTACTGCCAAGTGTGCTTGATTTTAGAGGGATGCAGCAATTGATCTGAGCTGGAAGCTAAATACATTAAAAAGCATACATATTTATTTACTTACGTTCTTTCCCTAGTGATCCACCTACCCAGCCCTACCAGTTCAACTCAAGCTGAAGTGCACCCTGCTCTGAAGAACAGAGAACTACAAGACTTAGAAGTAGTATGAAAGTATTTTTTTAAAACATCTGGAGTATTAGCAAAAACAAAAGAACACTGAATTAATTCGTGTGCTCTGAGGATGGCTTTACATACATATACACTTCAGTATCTGCAAAGAACATGAATACAAATCTGAAGGCCCTGAACATAAAAAATCTGATTCATATACTTAACTGTGCCTACAGTCTGCAGGTACCTCTTGACTGAGAATGCTTGACAGGGAATAATATACACGATAAACATGAGTATTCCCTATGCTTGAGGAGGGAAGAGCAAGAGAAGGAGAATAATCAAGATAAGGAGTTCTTTAAATCCTGGAATTAAATGTGAAAACTGTATGTAGATATTAAGATACTTCTGTTAAATGTTACAGACTTCAAAAGAATCCACAGTTCACAGCTTTGAACAAGAATCTCTATATGGGACTTCCACGGAATGAGTTCTATATACTAATCTCATTGCCTTAATAAATTTATATTTTTGAAATAGAAGCCTGAGTGCCCCAGTACAGAAGTCAGTCATAATAGTCTTACTTTGTACACTTAGACAGACTACATTCTAGGCTCCTGAGGGAATGTAATCTAAAGAATCAGAAAAGAAATGTGATTATATGCATCATGCAACTGCTAAAATAACAGAACAGTCACTCTGCTTGTATAAATACTTCAGTAATCGAAGCAGAACAAAACACAAGGTTTGCATTGACCAGGTACTCACCCCGACTAAGCACCTTTCAAGACTATAGTAACATATTAATACAATACTTCACCTCGTCAGGGCATCCATCTGGTCTCGGTAGTCGTCCATTATTCTTCAAAAGCTCTATCAAATGAAATACAATCATCTGCCCTTGTTTATCATTGCCAATCATGCGCATGAATTCCTGAAACAGAAGGCCGACTGTCATAAATAATTTTTAAAGGAAGAAAAGATGCTGCAATATTCTTACCAAAGGAAAATTCTTTATAAGAATAATTAATAATAATAATAATAATTAGAATAATATATAACAATGATAAAGTTATAAATTACAAGTCCAGAGAAAATAATAATTACAGAATTTTTTTTGTGCATGGATAAAAACAGGATGATACAACCACAATTTAAAGCAGTAAGTGAAAAATCTTAAAAAATGTTGATCATCTGATGATTAACTAGTTTTAAAAGGATAAACCTCACAGCTCATTCTAAAAAGCTCCCCGAAACATTAAAACAAGATCTTGATGCTTTGAAAAATCCCAGTCAAACAGAAAACAGATAATTTCATACTGATGTATACAAAAAAGTTTAACAGGATTGATCAGTAACTACAGGCCAGAAACAGTAGCATAATTAAAGCCAGCAAAAATGGCTTAGATAAATCTTGCTCTCCAAAAATCAACATAACCCAAAATGAAGATTACAATCTCACTCAGAGTGACAGAGATCAAAAGTAAATGCGGAAGTACTATTGACTGAGAATACTTTCTGATCACAACAGAAAGGAATTATTTTTCCTCCAATTCTACATAAATTTCTTTAATGATTCTTGACATGAAAGTGTGAAACAACTGCTGGTAGAATATGCAAATGGCCAAAGTTGAGGAAACAATGTATAATTATAAAGACTATGACAGATAAACAGACTGCTTTGGCTAACTGGTAAAATTAATTTTTCCTGATACATACCAATAGGATAACCAACCTGATGAAGTGGTGAATGCACATGTAAAGTTGATTTATTCAAAGTATATTCAACCTGAGCCCATGACTTACTCTACCACTTTCCATTTCATAATCCTTCTGAAGAACAACTCCAGGTGTCTGCAATGTTTATGTTGTTATGCAGCAAGAGCTGCCCCTGCCTTGAGAGTTCTTCCTTGAAGAAGGAAGAACTTCCTTAGTCATTGTATCGAATTACTAAGAGGTCCACTGAGGTCAATGCAGAGATCTTCCAAGTGCATTTTTGCCTATCATCATTGTTCAGCTCTCAAAACTACATTTGCCAGGAGTGAGACACTGGCCAAAGGTGAGGACAGTAAATATATAAGGCTCAACTCTCCTCTGTTATACCTGCAGAGGACTGCTAGGTAAAAGTAAGATCGTGAATCTCATTTCCAATTGGACAACTGTTACTCAGTGCACAAGTAGTACTTTTCTCCATTCACTGTAAATTTGTCTTTAAAGGTGTCTGTCAACAGTCTGTGAAAAGCCACTCCCTTTCTTTCTTGAACTTCAATAACTTACTAACTTGGGTTCTGGTAACATAACAAAATAACTTCAAGTTACCTTATTTAAATCAACTTAATGTTTACATATTTGTTTAGCTCAGCCTTAGATTTGCAATAGCATTAAAAATACGTGTCATGTTGCAATGAAACAGTTGCATCTCGGATTACTCTCCATGAAGGATGAGAAAGAGCAATCTACAATGAGAGATTTTCAAATCTTTTTCAAACAGTTAGGTGTTAGAGGATGGATAAGATCTGCACAGACTACCAGGTAATTTTCAGATCTCCTTTCCTTCTTATGGTTTGATACTAATACTTTTTAGCATGTTGCTGTTTCTGATTGGATGCTGCCTCAAACACTAAGGTACCTGCAGAAAAGGATCAGTAAATAGCAACCTATTTAGCTATAGGAACAAGCTACATATTTTCAAAAATTTAAAAAAAAACAACCAAAAAACATCTGAGAACCATTAACTATGTACTTACAGCTGGTGGGCTTTTGCTCTTGTCAATATAGGTGAAGAGTTCATACAAGACCACACCAAAACTCCACACATCCGAGGCCACAGAAAATTTGCTTTCTGTCAGAGATTCTGGAGCATACCTGCAACACATAGTAAAAGGAATATCGTTTGTGTAATGTGTCTTTTTGGTTTTGAAGATATTTCTTTTAAGAAGAGTGATTTTTTTTCATGAATAAGTGTTCTTTGTTCATAGGCACTAGCACATTCTTATTTCCTTCCATGACTTTCACTAGTAACTATTCTTTTAATAAAAATTAATTGGTATTGAAAACACAAACCACCTTAAGCAAACACAGTTAGTGATAAGTACATATAAGTTTGGGTTTTTTCCAGCAAAGCTGTAAATATTTTTCTTATCTGTAGTGCGAGTAAACAAGATTTTGATGTGATATGGCCTGGAAAGAAAGACAATTATAGCCAGTAAGCATCCTTCCATCACTTTCAGTGAGCCTTGAACTGTGTCCCAGGTACTTCTGGACTTAACTTTTACAACTCCCAATAACATCTACTAAGATGCCATTTTGTATTATTTATCCTTCAGAGATGACATTTTTACAGTGCCTAAGGCAGACTAAAATACAGACTAAAATCACATGTACAGAATGGCATTTTCTTTTGCTCTCAGGACATAAAATGGTTTTTATCACAGTTATCTGCACTCGTATTTTCTAAGAACAGAACTGAAGTCTATATTTTGCATTCTGAATACAGTCTACCAATTTCCATTTCCTAATTCTTCAGCCTCCCACAGGCTATACAGAGTGTTCTTTTCCTTTCCAAGGTAAGTGCAGCTTGTGGACCACTACTGTATTTTGGAGTAACTTAGACCTCCTTTGAAAGCTCAGTGCCCAGATAGAGATATCTACCCAAATAATCAATCCAGCACTTTAACCTTACTAATTACAGTCTGTGGGATTTAACTCCACTTGGTCAACAGAAGGTCTATCCAACAGATCTCAGCTAGAGAGATATGAACGACCAGTGTTTAGGGAACCAAAAGGTCCAAAACTTTGAAAGCATCCTGGGGAATGGGCCCTTTTAGATTTCTTTTATCTTTTAATATCTTTCCTGTTGCATACTATTTCTTTTAAATATTTTGGTAATTTTTAGTTTTTTTTTTTTTTTAAAATATGTTGAAAAGTTCTACATGCTGTTCTGTAAAGTCAAACATCACGTATGTGACTTTCACAATGCTGGGCAACTGACTTGGAGTTTACACTTAAAAGTGTCATGATATGCAAAACAATTGGCTGAAACTGCAAAAACAGAAAACGTGCCATGATTTCATATACCAAAAGAAAACTTACCAAAATATAGGGCTTTCACCAGGTTCTTTTACTTTGTAGTATTCTTTGTCTTGTGGCAAGACTTTTGTCAATCCATAGTTTCCAATTTTAACTCTGTTCTCATTCTCCACCAAGATATTTCTTGTTGCTAAATCCCGGTGAACATATCTTTTTGTACCCAGGTACTCCATGCCCTAGGCGTAAAGTTCAGAAACACAATAAGAAAAGAGTTACTTTTACCATTAAAGAGCTGCACTTTCCCTAAAGGGATGAATTAACTTCAATGTTAAAACTAAACACAGATTGTTACCAAAATCTGTGTGCTTGAACATTTGTCTTCTCTGAGGAGTTACTTTTTCCAAGCACAGGGACTTCCCTTAACTGAAGGGAGACAGACTGAGCACCCGTCAGAGACAAGTTATTTTTGATTCTGTAGCTGGATAGCTGTTACAGCTCCTTTCTGTGGCCAAATGCAGTTTGCTGCTGGTAGACAGGAGAAAAAAATTTGGGCTAAGCTACACAATCCAGGACAGATGAGAAGATTGTCCTATTTACCCATTTCATTTAATCTTTTTTCTTCACTTTGTACCTCTGTTTTCCTGATTGCTTTATGAAGCTTTATGATTCCTTGAATTTGACAACTATTCTCTGACTGTATTCCCACCTGTGTGCCATGTTTCTCTTCTGTATGGATCATTATTCACCAACACAGTTCTGCTTATTGTTATATGTCCATGGGTTGCTGTAACAAAACATTGGTCCGAAGCCATGTCGTCTTTTGCTGCTGATGATCTCTTCTTACCAACGCACATAATTCTTTTTGCTAACAATGGAATGTGGAAGAAGCCGGTGTGTGTAGTGGCATTACTAGAAAAAGGTCTTGGTTACACAGCAATGGATGGTGGACAGAAGTTGACACTGCACAATGTCAAGAGATAGCTGACTCACACGTGAAAGGGAACGCAAAGCAAGCTGTCATTTTCAGAGTTACGTAAGAAAGCATCTACTCCTTCCACACAACTGAAAAGCAATAAATTATGCTAAGGGGATCGTTGAACTCAAACGTTTTGAACATCAACGTTATGCTATTAATGCTAAAATATTTCTTGCTCTCTTATTTTATTTTTCTAAGAGAGAAACCTCAGGAATAGTTTGACGCTAACCTTCCCCTCAGGCTTGTCACCTCCTCGTGCCACGAGGTGGCATCGCTGCTTACGCGCATCCCATTCCAAAACCGCCCCAAAATGCCCTATTTTATTCTTCACGACCCGCTGATCCACGGCTATCTTGAAAAATACCAGACCTAGCTTTTTCAAAGTAAGACTCCTGGGTTTCTGATACAACCAGTCTATGTAAATGCTATAACTTTTTATTACTACTACATACACCACTGAAAACAGTCCTAAAGTTTCTCTGATGATAGCAATTTTTCTGTTAGCCTGGAACATACCTATTCTAAGAGAGATACTGAATTGAAGTAATGCAAATTCTAAATGGAAGTCATAATCCTGTGGCACTACTCTAACAATGGAGTTGAGTTTAATTATGTGATTCAAGTGTTTCTACCAGTAAAGTTGGGCTCTCCAGCAAGGACACCTGAAGCACTTTAAGCATTAAGAGATGGAAAAATTGATTTATTCTTAGTCTCTTCTCCTATCAGCCAGCCAGCATTAACAAAATGCAGGGGCAAAAAAGCAAAAAAGAACACCCCAAAAACCAGATGCATGGAGAAGTTAACTTCCTTATTTGCCGTTCTATGGTCACAATTCTTCAAAGTTGAACATAGAGTCCTCTTGCTTACCATCAGACAAGCTGTACTAATGGCACAGGCTGCACCAGAAAACAGCTGCACTAATTTGCATCTACAGAAATATCACCACTAGCAAATGCCATCTCTGAAAATGCTGCTTTTCACAGTATGAGATATGCACCAAAAAAATATCACCTCTAAGTCAGGAAACCTTTCCCAGTATAGTAGCAAGGAACGAAAAAACAGCAAGCAAGCAAACATACTCATCTTAACCCTCAGGTATGGGCATGCCTTCATTTCTCTCATACATTTGAGAGAATAGCAGCAAGGCAGAGGGAGAAAGATTTTTTTATTAAAAAACCCAAAATAACAGAGTGACAGAAATACACAGCGGACAGAAGAGATGCGAGATGCTGAAAGAGCAAACATAGCAAGAGAAGCAAAAACAGCTAAAGGAAAGTGGGAAATGTGATCAGCTAAAAGAAGAAGGAAAAGCATTCAGATTCCATTTTCATAATATCAGGTACTATGTTTTTAATTAAGTTGTTTTGAAGTAACAGAATGCTGCAGATTAGAGTGACATCTTAAAGTGATCAATATAACCTCTGCTTTGCAGGCCATACAGCAACAACAGTGCAAAGCAAGACACATACACTGTAATTCTTAGACTTTCCTTCCCTTACAAGTGAAGAAAAGAGAGTTCTTTAAGAGCAAGTCTTATATGCAGACTTCCCACATTCTCTTACTGTGTGCACCCATGCTTCGTCACATGAAAGAAGGATGTTTTCCCACTTAAGTATCTGTGGAAGGCATACTCCAACTCCCTTCCTCTTGGTTGGTGCTTGGTACTTAGGAAGCAGTCATTTCATCTGCTATTTTGATTTTTCATCACCATCCTGAAGACCTATAGTATTTTGATGCTTCTTTTATATATGTGTGTGTACACACACACACACATTAAGAACCTACTTCTTTGTACCTTCTGAATACAGTTCCTTTCCCAAAGTTTCCTACCATACTTGCACTGCCTGCTCAGGTCAAAATCCACCTTCCATTCCTCCTATCAGATACCTCTGTCTCAGAGACCAGGCTCCTGAGATATGTTGCCACTGTTGCTCCTTCAGGCTTTGGATAAGGCTTTGGATAAGGCCTCAAGACTTACTTAAGCAAGCTTCACAGCTTCTTACGAGAGTGAACAGGGCAGGCACCTTATGACCCTTCAGGTCACAGGCTGAGATGGCCACAGAATAAAACAGGTGAGTGCTTGCAGCCTCTGAATGTTCAAAAATCCCTGTTACATCTTTATTCTATGAAAGATTCACTGTCACCGTCCTCCTAGGTGGTGCTGACTGTTAGACTCTTCCAGCTCTTTGCTTGAAGGAAGATTGTTTTCAGTGAATTACCAGCACTGATAACAACAGTTATTTTGTTGCAGAAATAATATTCAGAGAACTTCTTCTGCCTGTTGCTGGAGAATGACTTATTGTTTTGGAGACACAGATCAGAGGGCTTTTTAACCCTCTTTGAGTGGGTGGTCACATGTCAATCCTTCCTCTCTGTGGAAAGACTGACAGTTGCCACAGGTGAACATTTTCTTTTTTCCAACCTCATTGCACACTGCTTGCCCATCAAGGACTTTTTGCTGGAGACTACCCACCTAGCCTTACTTCAGTGAGGCACACGAATAGGTGAGATCAGCTGCTAAAGGCGCATGCAGCATCCTTCTATACATGACCCAGGTTCCGTAGTTAAAAGGTTTACCGAGGCAGTCCAGTTTCAAGCAGGGAATTATCAAGCTCCGTTCACCAGGTGAAAGTTTGAATGCCTGGAGATCTTGGCTCTGGCAGAGACTCTCGTGCTTGATTCTTATCAGGCCTTTTCTGCTATATTGCAGAAGGAAAGTCTTCTGCTCTGAATGTGGCAGGGCACAATTATAGACATAAGAATATCTGTGGGCTAGGTAACCTGAAGAACACTCATTAAGTAACCTACTGTTTCCATGTCTTTGATGCGGGTATTGGGGAAAGCAATTAAAAAATATTTCTGGTACATGCCTTGAGGGGGTACGTGTGTGTGTCTTTTTTTTTTTTTCCTCTTTTCTCTCTTCCCTCTGCCCCACCCCCCTTTTTTTTCTTTATACAAACTACTGAACATGCAATGAGATGCAAAGTGTCTGTAGTGTCTTGTGTCTAAAGCATAATAACAGAATAAAACTAGGGTAGGCATAAGCCCTCTTTCTGAGGAAATGAGATATCACAATAAAGATCAGATGTTTCCCCCCTTTTCAGACTTTTATGAAGGATGTTCAGTACCAACCACTGAGACTAGCAAATAATTTATTACAGCTTTGGGCACTTCTGTGGCCTCTAGTTCTTCATACAGAAATCATATATCTTTGCTCTTTCTGCTAAATAAGCTAATGTTGTTTACAGTACAAAGTAAATTTCTTAAACGTATACATGCTGTTATAGTGGTTTTATAGCTGAATGTCCAAGTTCTGAAAAATCCATTATAGTATGTCACAAAAAGTTTGCCTCTGTGAGCATATTAACTCCTGCAAAATTTTATTTCAGCTCTCATTAGGGAGTGAAGAGGTTTTACTTCTTCTGAATGAAATATAAGCTAAGCAAACTATAAAATAAACAAAAATAAATGGAGTATATTCTGCCTCAGTCAGCAGACAGGCCAGTCTCAGAATCTGGTATTAAGATACTCAGAAGTTTGTCCAGTTCTTGACCACATGAATATGTATTGCTACTTTTTTTATAGAGAGTTATGTGGTGCTAGCAGCCCAACAGTATTATAAAAGATACACAAAAATAACCAATGATGGTTGTTTTGAGACAAATGAGATGAGACCAAACAGACAAAAATTTGTTGAAAAATATCAATCATCTGAAATTTCCTACCTTGCATATCTGAGAAGCATACAGCAAAAGCTTCTTGTGGTCCAGCCTCTCCTTGTGTTTCTGCAGATAATCTCGTAAACTTCCATATGGTAAATATTCCATAATTAATCTTAGATTCCTACGACCTTTTACAACAACAACAAAAAATACACTTAATTTTTCTGTCATTTTCCAATGAAAATTTTTGAAATACAAATATTTACAAACTTCTATGAATAGAAGTTATAGAAAATAGTCTTGATACCAAAAAAATAATTTATACATACACCACTATGCAATTTTTAATGTATTACTTAACTGCATTTGTTCAGGAAATGCCATTTATTTAAACACAACAATAATGTGCATATGCTTGATATACAGAGCATCACTAATCAAGATCACCTTATCAATTCTTTAGCTACTATTGCTAAAGCAATGCAAAAGTGCCATGTGCATATCTGTGTTTATGTAATTCCTTCTCAGTGCCAAGATGAAACTCAGAATGGCAACCGACATCAACTGGTCAGCAATTTTACTATCTCTAAAGTTTAGTCTGATTGTGAACAATCTTTTTAGAGTCAGATCCTGGGCAGAACCTATGCTTTCATTCATCAGCTTCAACAGCATCAACAATTCACTCGCTCACACCTGTTTCTGAAATTTTTTCCTGTCTAGTCTTTTACTGTAGGCTGTACAAGAATTGGTAATATCCACTCTGGGACATTACCTTGAGCAAAAACCAAGAACAGTTACAAAATGGTTGTATTTTCTCATTTAACCCCGAATTCTTTTCTAGGAAGACTTTTATGCTTTAAGATAAAGAAACTGGGTAACTAGTCAAAATGGTACTTTCTCTAAATCAAATTATGCAATGAGCTGACCTAATAAAATGTCCACCTTGTACTGAGATACGACAGTGTCTGTATATGACAGACACTACTTCCTTTGATTTGTACTCTCTAAGTCCTGGTCAAGTTAGGACAAGTTAGTGACTTTCAGAAACACTTACCTCTCTGAATTTCTCAGCATGCAAACTTAGGTGAATACACCTTCAGGTGTATATAGCACATACCTGCGCTGTAGCATACTCCTTTGTATTTAACAATGTTATCATGCTGCAGAGATTTAAGTATTTCGATTTCTCTTTCAAAGTCCCTAAGGTGCTCTTCTGTGCTATGTTGCAGCTTTTTCACAGCCACCACCTCCCCAGTATTATCCTGCAGTGGGTCATACCGGCACATCTCAACACTGCCAAAATTTCCCTAGATCACAAATGGAAATACTTGAATTAAAAACAAGTCCACATCATTGTCTCTTTCTTAGTGCTTATTCACACTGCCTCAGTGTTCACTGTATTAGCATTAAGGTGACCACAATTAATTAAGTGCATGCCACAAAACCTCCCTGAGAGAAAAAGAGTGCAGGATCACAGGTAACAGTTCTATAAGAGTAAGAAACACATTCTATGAAAGGAAGCAAACAGCATGGGAGGAAATGAGGACGAGGGGGTGATGTCCATTCATTTTCTCCCCCTTCTTCACAAATTTCCACTTGCACTTCCAAACTGTCAGTTGGTATACTCCTTTTCCTGCAATTGCAAAAATGCCTCCATTCAGGTTCCTCTTGGCTCTTACTCCTCCTGTGTTTCTTGGTGGTTCTTCCCCCATTTGTTTCAATGTTCTACCTTCTTCCCTTTCTCTGTTTATACTTTCTTTATCTTCCTTTACAGTCATCACCTACCACTCTGCTCCTCTCACTATGCTATGCTACCACTTACAGTCAAAAGCCAAGCATCTGCAAACAGAAGTAGTTCTGCTACTTTGCTTTCAGACTTGCTTTCACTAGTACTTGGAGTCAAAGGAATATATAGCTATCACGTCAATAAAAAACATAAAACAGCAAGGAACCATTCCGGAAAAATGGTAGTTGGTGAAGATCTGCCAGCTGCACTTGGTCATCTGTCTGGGCATGCTTTCACACAGCCAGGCTCCAATGACATGCAAATTTAGTAACCAAATGCCTATTTCTAAAACCTAAAATGTTCAAGGCCTACATGTATATCAAAGATATTACTGAAATTAGGGACTGTGTATTCAGACTTCTCTGAATATGCATGCACAAAAAAACCCCAGCCCTACTAGTTCTATGCAAGACTGCTCTGGAGCATTTTTAAATGAATATCAAGTACAAAAAAAAAATTATGTCAGATGCAGCTCTGCATTACTGAAAAAGATTTTAGCCTTTCAGTGTGACTGGATTCATTGTAGAGGTCAGCTATCTTTTTTCTACCTAATGATATTGTGAAACTGAAATAAGATCTAAAAGGAACTGCACGTTGTGGTCAGATATGACTGAAATTAATTTCTGTAACAGAATCTTCAATGTAAATAATGTACATGGGGTCATTAGAAGATAACTGAAAAAGATAGTTCTTTCCTAAGCAATTAGAGAATTTCAAAACATCCTACCTTGCCAAGTTGCTGTAAAAACTTAAGATGTCTTTCTTCAAATTGTGTTGGGTCCCGATCTTCAAAAGCGCCAGAAAATCCAAGTGCTCCAATTCTCATATTTGGCAACATATCACTTTCTGTCAATAGCTCGTAATCTGAGGGGTTGGAGGAAGAAGGGAAGAGAGAAAGGGAACAGGAGGCATAGAGAACGAAACAGGAGCATGAAGAAACTTATTACAATCATGGCATGTTCTACCTTTGCTCAGCATACCCCAAGCTCAGTACAATATTAACAACCACCTTAATTTCTCTGGAGTAATTTGCAGTCAAAGACAAACACGTATTACAAAAAAGCCAAATTATTTGTCTTGACTCATATCAAGTCTTCCTTTAATTTCCCAATTTTCCTTTTTGCAGGCCTATTGTACTTCAAATCTAGCAACTACTGTGCAACAGCTCCACTACTGCAGAGGGGAGAAATGTAAATTTCAAAGGCTTGTGATAACACACACCTTCCACTTGGAAAAAAGAAAGATACCTGTTTATTTTATTGAGAGAAAAAAGAAAGACACAATCCTAACATATTTAGTTAAGAAACTAGAATGTTTGGGATAGACATTAACCAAATGAGAAAACTACTTTGAACGATACTGCTAACTTTTGATGTGTTCTCTTTTAGAAGAAACTAAAAAGCAGTAACACAGTGTCCTTATGAACTTAAGATTTCCAGGGCTGCTTTGGACAGTGGTTGTGGGTCAACATATGAAAAAGAAAGGCACCATATGAAAATGAATCAATAGGAATCACAGTTCTTTTTGCCCACGCACTCTTGTATCACAGACTCACCTGGAGTGAACAAACTATTCAAGTCACGTATAATTGCTCTAAATGAAGGCCTGAAATCTGGCTCGTAATCCATACAGTTGTTTATAAGGTTTGCTAGTTCTGTCCAGTTGGGGGCAGGAAGCTGGTGCCTATCTTCATAAAACTGTAGTTTCTAGAATTAAATACATAAAAGCCATTTTAATATAAAACCATGAAGAGCTGCAGAAGTCTTAACATTCTCACCAGAGCAGCCAAAAAAATACAGTTCTCAACCTAGACTTGTTATCTCACTGAACATACATCTGACCAATTTACGTCAAAAGCCAAGGCTGACAATGTAGCAAGATTGGCACAATTTAGAGTAATCAGTTCAGAAATTCCCAGTCAGTTACTGGTGGAAGATAAGAAAACAGAGAAAGATAATGAGAAAGATCATGTATCCTTTATTGGTAATGTCATAAAACCTCAACTAGATGGGTCCAGCAGAAAGTCTATCCACCTGTGAGCTGCCTTAGCTCCTCCAGTTGTAAAAAGCTTCGTAAGTATTAGGAAAGAATGTGGATTACTACAGGAGAGGAGGGCAACTTCTGAAATACCTAGGTATCTATAAGCTAGGCCTAAGTAGACCTTGGAGCTTATTGGAAAAGAGTATTACAACACCTGAGAAATCAGATCAGGGTTTGTGAGAAGGTAACAGTCCATTTACAAAAATACTACTACAAATCTTTTTGTAGTATAGTAAAGGAAATCATCTTTTTGCTTCCAACTAAGGAAGCAAATAAGAAATAATATTTTTAGGGAATGTGTTTCCCCTCCACCCCCTGTCCCTTGTTGAGACAAGGTTAACATTTCTGATTCAGCTAAAACAGTAGAATTATCTGCAACACACAAAGTCTTACAGTATTTAAGATATTAAATTACTAGAATAATGCCAATTAAAATCCTCGTACATTGTTAGGAATACTTTCTGTTTAAAGTGATGCACTGTTGCAACAAAGCAACAGAAACACAAACAAGGTAATGCTGCCAATGCTGTACTTTGTTCCCATAAAAATCAAACATAAACCCAAACTTCAAATCATCACTTCTGATCATTATCTACCAGTAAAAGTGTCCTTTTCCTACAGTGGTCATGGGCCACAAAGTTACAAGCTGATATAGTTACAACAGCAGATGTTTTAAATTAGAAGTGTCCAAAAAACTGTTATGACTGCAGACCTAGTAATACTTACTCTTGAAGAATCCAGCGCACTCAGAGGTTTGTCTCCTCCACTGCAGATTTCCCACAAAGTAGTACCAAAACTCCATTTGTCTGTGGCCAAGCTTAATTGTTTGGGATTCTCAATACATTCAGGTGGAACCCATGGTATTCTCTCAAGAAGAACTGTGCAATCATGCAAAGGAAACATGATGTTAAGATGAATAATAAACCCAGAAAATTCTGTAACAGATTTGATTTAGTAAAAATGACTTTAGTATATATAGGTATTTCATTCTGTAACATGGCTTTAATACCTTTCCAAGTTTTGTTCCTGACTAAAAAAAAAAAGCTACAGAATATGTACAAAAGTATTATTTATGAATCAGAGTGGAGGACCATTAGTTTTATTGTAAAATAAGCCTAATGTTATAAAACTGCCTTAACATCATTTCCATGCTATATTTTTGTTCCAACTTCTGTATTTCCCCCAGTGTTACCAAGATTTAGTAGCTACCACAAAGGAACTAGATGGCAAAGAGTAAAAAGTACTTTGCTAGTAGTTGGCACATTATGGCACAGCAAAAGGCGCCATAACAAGGAATTTCATACCATTTGATTTTTAAACTTTTGATACTGATTGTAGTAACAAGATAAAAGACGGTATTGTACTGATGTAGACTGAGAGCTCCTTAAAATGAGATCTCGTAAGATTAATGTAGGCTTCTCATTTAAAAAGGGAGAGTTTAAACAGTTTATTGGAAAATAATGACACTGCATTGCTTATAGTCTCTTATTTCTTTTGGCATGTATAAAATTACCGAGTATAAAGTGTGTTCATTTTTCCAAAACAATTAAAATACTAGATAAAGAATAGTAAGGTTATTTCGGTTTCATTAGCATAACAATCTTGCACGCACTTTTCACTTCTTTTAATTTAATTAATTTTGCTGTTTATAAAGCATTAGAACAACCCCAATGGCAGATGATAAGCCAGTATTTTTAGCACCAAATGGCCTCAGGTATTCACCGAGAAATGTACTGAAAATGATTTTCAACTGCCAGGCAGCATTTTCAAAAGTGCATTTACTTTCAGCTCTGAAAGCTTCTCCAAGCTATAAAATACAACAATTTAATCTTGATCAATAACAGGATACAAAGTCCAGCAGCTACCTGCAGATGCAACAGACTTACTCATGGTACCTTACAGCATACTAATAGTAGTGCCAGTGAAGAAAAAGTTGAAAATGAGAACAGCAAGAAAAAAAACCTCACACAATGGAGAACTGTGGCTTTATTTCCTGTAGCTATATGCTGATAAAGAAGATACTCTCAAAACTGCTGACTAGGACAGCAGAGATTATTTTAAAGTGACAGATGGATGAAGAAACTTACTGTAACAGAAGTACCTTAGATAGTGGTCAGAAAAAACAAACTTATTTTTCAAGTTAGAAGCATTAAACAAGAAAGTTGACACAAAGACTTACTATCTCTTGGCAAAACTGTAATACTGATCCCAGGATCACTTAGTTTTATAAATGGAAGGTTTCCAGACTTCCTGTCTTCCTCTCTGATAAGCAAGATGTTTTTTGCACAGACATTCCCATGAACAAGGCCTTTATCCTCCTATGAACAGAAATTATCTTTTACATACCGACAAAAAAAAATCTTATGGTTGAAGAGGTATTTAAAAACCAATACTTTACAGCACAAGGGAAACATCAGCAAAGAAAATAATGATCATAGATTAAGTTGTTCACATCTCAGACATCTCATCAGTTCCTCTCAGTCATAGTTTCTAGCCAATTTTCATTCATTTTGATTCTCTACCTCAAGTTTCGAGTTTAAAACTATTTGTTGTATGTTAACTCAGAAGAATACTAATCCATCAGTATGATCCATTTAAAATGAATATAAGAATATTTAAATTCTGTTAAAGGGAAGATTCATTTAATATATCATATCCTGTCTCAATTAATGGCCTTTGTGTTGAATTAAACAGACTGTAAGGTTGGGACCTAATGCACAAAAAGAATGTACCAGCAGTTTGACCAATACAATGTTTTCCCCTCCCAGTGGTTAACTACTACTAACATTGCCAGGAAACAGTTTAATGTTCAGCATCATGAGCTGATATGGGAAAATCAGGAAGGACTGATTCCTGGGGGGGTGACAGGGAGAATTTTTACTGGAAATGTGTTCTTATTTCATGCTAAAATATAAAACATTAAAAAAGAACAGAAAATTCGATAACACTTTGTGCAAGATACAGAGGTCTGTCCTTCGCTATCCACTGACTATTTAGTACATGCCCAGTCTATTTTCAAATACCTTCCACAGTTTCAAGAAGAAGGGTAATAGCTCAGCCATTCTACATGTATTGGCCTGAAACACTTAAATTCAGCCACTAACAAAGAAGAATAAACTACTTACCAGAAAATGCATGGCTAATGCCAACTGTTTGGCTACTTCCAGCTTCCACAAGATATTGATAACATTTTTGTTCTTTTTCAAGTATGTGTCCAAGGATCCAAATTTTACATATTCTTGTACAAGGATGTCTGATATAAAATATTAAAAAGAGTAACAATTAAAACCAACAACAGCTAATGGAATTTCAGGACAGATTAATTACTCTAGTACTACCCATCTCTTTCTTTGATACCCTGTTGGTGAACTAACTAAAAATTCAAAGCTATATGACATCTAAGTATTGCCACAAATATTCTATGTTCCTTATACTTCTTCAGGGGGTAGAAGTTTGCCTAATTTCTTCTCAAATGCAAAATTACTAGATTTAAAGTTTTTTACAGAATAGGTTTCCACCTTAACAAATCCACTGAGCATCCTTCCACCCTCATTTGAAAGGCACAGTAAATAACATAACTTCTGATAAAGCATAGTAGTGTACAGCAATATCAACGTAGCGAGTCAAATAACATTCAAGTCATTCACTTCATAGTTGTTTACAATCTACATTCTTAGCGAAAAATACAATGCTTTGGTGACAGAAGATGCTCTTCTTGAAAACAGACTAATATTTGCACTAAAAAAAAAAATTGTGTACATATAGGACATATCCCTCCATGCAGTCATCCAGCAAATAACCCAAGAAGCAAGAACCATTTCATAGTACTGCACAGTCTTCATCAGTTTCAATACAACAATTTCAAACTGCATGACTGAACTCTTGCCTTCAGCCGCAAGACGCTCACATTGCAGTGTTTCTCATTTAGACTCCAAAGACACTGGACACTATGTGATTTTTATAACAAATTCATTCTATAGACAGCAAACTACTTTTTTTTTCAATTATGTGAAGTGATTTTCATCAAATCTGTACATCAAGTGTGTAACCTGCAGAAAAAGTAACAGCCTCTTTCTGCTTCTTAGCAACTGCCTCCTACTAAACTGTAATAAGTCTCTTGCCTTCAGAAATAGAACTGTCTATAGAGGGCAACTGTGATCTAAAGGAGAAGTAAATAACCATGTACATCTTTAGATAATTTTTTTTTTTTAACTTATACACATGTTCTACCTGAAATTTTATATATAGTCCTCACGCATGGTACAAAGAATAAACTAGAAAAAACACTCGTGGGCATTTTTGCAAAGAAACTGGCATAACAACTTCTTGGCCAAGCATGGTGCTGTGCCTTTTCCAGTCTCCTAAGAGAAGCAACTCCTGATACAGAATCCACCCTCCCTTTTGCAAATTCCTTCTCTCTTAATGCAGGCCACTGTCTACATAATATGCTTATACAGTTATTATAAAATGCTTCCTTTTGTTACAAATTTCACATCACAGTAAAAAAATGGTTTTAGGACAAACTAACATTTCTGCCCAAAGACTGAATGAAGAAGAAAACCTGCCTAAGGTTTAAGCAGCGCATACTCGAAGATTGCACACGTAAGTGTATGACAACCATCCAAAATTAAGATTTTATTACAAGATGTTATAAATGTATTTCAGGTGTTCTTAAAAGCCTTATTAATAAATAGTCACAATGTAGTAAGCTAAACTGAAAACACATTCTACTTCTGTAGACAATGCAAAGATTTTACGTTTGTTAACATGTTGTAATGTTTTTGTTGAAATAATGGGACCTCATGTTCTCAGAATGGGATCTCTAAACCAAACTTCCCAAAGCTATATTTGTGCTTGCAAAGTCAGCACATGGGTGGGAAAGGGTGGCAGTTTCTGTGTTTCTGATCATAGTAAATGAAGATTTTCTTGGGTAGCCAAGCACTTACCCTTCTAGCTAACCACAGTTGATACAATGTAGAGGTGGAATTTTTCTGGAATTTCAAAAGGTTGTTTCAGAAGTTCAGCAAAACTTTTCAGAAGTGAGATTTTCAGATAGAACAGACATGACAGTCATTTACAAAGGTTACTATTCACACTGACTGTATTTATGCAATCTTTCCATTTTCTTTGTTATCACCATAGTAACTAGTTCTCAGACACCAAGACTCCTGCAATGTGAACACGTATTGGGTGTCCAGCTGGTGTGCCATGTTGTTTTGTTTTGTTTCTTTTCCCTACTTTTACCCAGAACCAATGGCAAACTCTCAGGACAGCTGTATAAAATTAGTACAAAAAGATAATTGATTTCTACTTACTCTCCTCTCCACATACACAGACCCCATAATTTAACACCAAATGTTTGTAAGAAAGCTGGCTCATCATGCTTGCTGCCTCGAAGAAGGACTTTGAGGAAGGAGAGAGAGATGGAGAGAGAATAAATATCAGTGAAAATATTACATGATTTCTAATAAATTTATTAAAACCATGTGCATTTTTTAAAACATTTCAACTTCCATCTCATTGCAAAGACCCTGTGTAACATATTTTATATTGTTTGTGGTTGGTTTAGGTTGGGTTTTTTTGTTTTGTTGTTGTTGTTGTTGTTTAAAAATAACTGCTAATCCACATTCCAGAGAGGTTAGCAATCTTTTTCTGGAGGCAGGTGTATCTCCACATTTTAAAAAGAATCTTTCCTTCCATTTCAGTTAACTAAGTAAAGTAAACAGCAGACAAATTCATGACGCACTATTTGGTTTCCAATTTATTCTTTCATAATGTACTATTCAGTTTCCAATTTATTTCTTCATAGCATATTATTAAGTTAAAGGACAAGAAGTATTATATCACTGATTCACTACTGCAAGACCTTACCTAACCTTGTCAGGAATGTTTCAGATACTTTTATTTCTTCAGTAATTTTTTTATTTTCTTCAGCGGCATCTCCAACTGCACTTGCCTAGGTACTCATTATTCACCCAACAAAACACGGTCAAAATCAGCACATTTTCCTTTTGGTGACTATATTTGTATTTCTGTACTCTTAGTCTTTTTAACAACTGATTCTCACTTAACTTTAGAATGCAAGTATATCACCCAGCTTATTAAAATTAAAATATGGGTTATAGTTTCTTTGTTGTTTTCAATTGTCCAAAGTGTATGCCTACATTGCTTATGACTATTAGCTCTCCGAAACGTCTTTTCCTTCTTTGCTTACATTTTTATATAGATATGTCTTAAGTGATTGAAAAGTTCTGTAAACAATACACTGGTTCTCTTGGCTTGCTGTAAATACAGCTACATTAATTAGGAATTTGATACAATTATATCATCAAAATAAACAATAAACAGCCATATAAAGTTACATGAATATATTAAACACTACCACATCTTGTTAAAGTCTTTAAAATTAAATTCTCACATACACAATCTTGGGCTCAATTACATTACCAGTGTGTTAGTTTTTGCACAAAGGCATTTTATGTTTGCTCACAGCTTCACTCAAACAGTGAAAAATAAGTGAATATGGATGATTCTACATATTGCAAGTGTTTCTCATACATAAATAATTCTGTTTTTTTATGACTTTATGTGAATTCTTGATTTTACTGGAGAATCAGTATGACTCCAAAACACTGAAGACAGTCTACCAAAAGAAAGTAATTTTCCATAAATGTTGGTCCCTCATCTGTACATAATGAATTTACTGGCAAAGGCCAGGTGAATTTACTGTGGCCATACCACCTCTCCTGGGCTACTGGTATCATATAAACAAACAGTTCTCTGGCTCTCAGTGGGTAGCTCTAAATTCTCTGACAGATGGTGGGGAGAGGGGAAATAAAAGTAGATAGGTGTACTTCCCAACACCAGTCTCAAATCCATCCTCCCAGTGTCACAAGGCCAAGAATGAGCTTGGTTCAACATACAACCCTCTACCATATAATACATACTCATTTATTTTAAGAAAAGTAATGGTCAACATAGCAAGGACAAATGTTGCACAGCAGTCAAGAATCACACCAACCTCAGAGTAGTTTCTATGCACTTTATCCAGCACCTTTAAAAGAACTTCAGTTTGATGGAGCTGGCCATAGTCTCCAACTTCTTTCCTTACACCTTTGAAAATCTTAGTAAATGTGCCCTGTCCAAGACTCTCCTCCTAAAAGATAGGAAGGACAGAAATGGGAAAAAATCAGAAATGTCTGTTTTGCAAAATATCTCTTAAAGAACCACTCTAAGTAACACATATGCAAATCTTTATAGCTAGCACGCCTCTAGAGTCAGACTAAGGGGACAAGGAAGCAACTATAACAGAAACAACTTAAATCTTTGCTTATTTTTTACTGACTCCTCAAAGATCTCAGAAAATAACTTGCTGCAAGAACCAGAAAGCAAGGAATTGCTGCTATTAAGATGTATTTAGACATCCCTAGAAGTAAAGAAAACAACTGCTATTGGAGTCAAAAGGACAATTCTTTTTAAAAAAAAAAACAACGTTATTTGTATCAATGGAAAATTAAAAAAAATTTTCTCTCACAACTCTAAGGAAAGATTACAGTAAAGTCTCCTAGTTCAGATAAGGCTCTTTTAAAAATATACTGAGTTTTTTAATACTTAGTGTATATTAAACCAACCACTGGAACCACCAATGCACTGGAAGAAGCAATTAATGGACTTACGAATATTAAGTCCTCATTCCGGATTTTGTGAAAGACCATCTGGTTGACATTATTGTGTCTCTGTAGCGTAGGTGATGAAGGTACATCAGAAACACTATTGCTTCTGAAGACTAGGAGATTTGATTTATCTGGGAGAAGAAAGAGGGTGGGGAAAAGAAAAACAAAGTAAATTTGTAAAATATAAAACTAAAACAATATTATTTCAGAAGGATTATTAATGAGAAGCCGTTAATCCAACAAAAAGAAGATATCACATTGAGATCAGTTTATTCAAAAAGCCACATAGTATTTCATTAAACAAATTCAAAGTTTGATTTTTTTTTCTATTCAGCAAAAGCATTTAGGTTCACTCAAGCTATTAAGTTTCTTAAGTACTCCTACTTTTGAAAACATTCTGAAAATATTCCTGCCTTCTTTCACATTTTAACTTCTGCTGTATTTGTAATAACAATCAGGGATGGAAAAGGGGATGTAACTCACCTGCTTTGTTTATATTACGAAGTCATTCTGTTAAAGATGTGCATGTCTTTCTGATGCCTCTTTAAAGCTTTTACATATTTTTGCCCTGGCAGCGCTTTAGTGATCCTCACTGCCTTATGTTCACCAGAGTAATTATTCTTCGAGTGACTTTGAAAAAAGGCTCTCCACAAAATAGAGCAGGTCTGTTAGTAAAACTAAAGCTGATAGGTATGTATCTGTGGGTATATGTGTGCATGCATGCATGTGCGATTATATTTATTCAATAATTTTTAATTCTGATGCATATACATTTTTGTTTGATTTCAATGGAAATAAGGTTAAAAAATTATTCTTTGTAATGTACGTATTTACTTGGCAAATATTTTTTAAGTTTTTTAATCCAATGGCTGATTTCCATCAAATTTGAGAGGTAAAAGTGATATCTAAGTCTGTTCTCTCAAGTTTTTGTTTGAATAGGGACTTGGATAGAGACAAAGACTAACTAATATTAACTGTAAGTCGTACTACTTATATACGCAAAAAAGGCAAACGTTATCAGAATTCATAAAGGAGAAAGATATTATGAATATCAAAGCTAGGCAAAAACCTTTAATGTAAATTCAAGAAAAATCCACTCCTCATGCAGGAGCTCTATTCCATGTGTACTTTTCAGTGTTAAAAAGAAGTTGAAATCACACTGCAGCCTTGGCATAATTCAGCTAAGATGTCAACAAACAATGAAAGAAATTCACTGGCATTGTTGGTTCCATTCCTTATGGAAGTATCCTCAGTGAGAAATTATACATTTAGTAGCTCTTTCCATCTCAAGACATGCTGCTGCACACAGTCCACTGCAATTAAGAAACCAGTTTTGCTTCTAATCATGAAACTGGCTACCATGATTCTTTCTGGAAGACCATCTTATAACAAAGTAAAATTTGGCAGACACTAGGACTGAAAACTATGACTAAGAAGATGAACAAGTAAGTCAGTGAAGTTAAAAAAAAAAAACCCTCACAAACATACATATATACCTACCTGAGAGTCATTTAATATTAACTTACTTTTCAATCTTCGATCTAAAAGTTGGAAATCCTTCTGCTTAGAAATAAACTTTCTCTTACCTTTTGGTTTTGGAGGACAGCACTTGATGAACTGGAAAATTATGCTGTCTGAACGGACAGTTTCTGTCTGGTAACAGGTCAACAGATCCTTAAGATTACCAAAACTTCTCTTGGTTCCACTAAGATTATATTCTCCATTCTCATTCTTCGTAATTAAGCAGTGCTTATAATCAGTGGTATTCTCACGCTGCAGAAATTTTTTCCATTAAAAATAAAATTGATCAATATTTAATATTTAAAAGCTTATTCAAATGTATACTACTCTACTCATTAAAGAAAGAATGCTTCAGCAAAATATTACCATAATTCATTATTTTGTTAACACAATGTAATATTGATTCTGAGAAAACATGATTCTACTCCCATCACTGGAATTAGCATGTTGATGCTAAGAAAAACAAATGTTATGAAATCTGCAAAGATGGAGCTAAGAAAACAGATAATGGATCCTAGGAAAAATCCTTCACAGCTAGTAATGAAAGCTTCTTCACCCTTACACAGGGTAGTATCAAAACAAAATTTTGTTGGAAGCAATAGTCCAAATGCTCATGCTCCATGTACTTTTGGCAAGCATTTGGAGATCTCAGCTATATTTTATTTTTCTGTTGTCTACAGTATAGTTCTAAGCAATTAGTACCTAGCACAGATTTTCAATATGCACTGAGTTATTTTTACAATGAGTCTTGAAAAGATCCCATTAAACATTTTTAAACAAGAGGAGCTCTTAATAGTGCTTTCATGGTCCTTCACATCAACACTGTGGAAAATGTTCCAACAAATTCTGAATCTCAAAAGCCTTCTAACGGCTTGCCCAGGAAGAATCAGAACAAGAAAAAAAAAAGTGGCTATGTCAGGTAATGGCAGGCTTCACTCACAAGCTTGACTCTCAAACTGTGACTTTCTAATCTGGTTCTTTAGCTGCATGAGAATTGCAGGCATTTCAAGGGTGGCTCCCACTCTAGCTTAACACCAGATATCCAGCAGGAGATCTGTGTTGATGTTAACAGCTGCCAAAGAACCTGGCTGGCCCAGCACTGGAGATGGGGAAAGGACCCAAACCCAGAAGAACCTGTGAAGGAGAGACACTCTCAAATCACTGAGGGCTGTATACTCAGTCTAGCCCTACTGGGGGGGTTGGGAGGGCCCAGAAATCCCAGGAAAAAATCCAACTAAAGAAACCCCAAAAACCAGACCTTAAAAATTAAATAAAAACCCAAAACGCTCCACATCCCAAACATGTACTACAGTCCCAAGAGCCATGTCATCAACTCCAGAACTCTCAAGCTCTCTTCCTGTCTTGTTCTGCTAGGCGTATGGTATGTGTCATTAGCAATTCTTCAGCATACAAGTATTTTGATGTTTCTCACAAGACCCTGAAAGTTGGCCAATCTGACAAAAGTAGCTATAGAATATACACATCAGACACATTCTGAAGAGAAAATTCAGAATCATTTACTGAGCATCCCAGGCTTACTATTATAATGCAATAAAGATTATACAGGTACTATCCAAGGCAGAATACAAACCTCTATAGCAAAGGTGAGGAAGTATTTTTTAAAATCTTTAGGACTGCAACGAAGAACGTAGAAACCAGTCTGATTACCCGCTTTCTTCAGTTTACTGATAGCAAAGTCCATGCTATAGTAAAAAGAAAATGTTTAATATTGGATAATTTCAAAAGCCAGGAACATCAGAGATTGGCCAATGAGCACTATTATCAGATCTAACAGAACAACTATTAAAACTCTGTTTTTTACAGCTTCCTTTAAGTTATTTGTCCCTGTATTTTCCAATATTCAGGGTGGCTGCTTATGTAGAGAGAAGTATATTAAAAATTCTTAATTCTGAAAATACCACAATTATTTATTTGATGAGAAATCCTACAGCCTAAGAAGGTGTACTCCCCTAGGCTTATGATATGACTTTCAAAATCCATTATGGAAGAAGTTGTAATAAAACTTCCTAATGAATTAGCTAGAATTAGCAAAGTATTTCTGTGGGTGAAAAAGGTGGGTTTAACTTGGGAAAGGGGTAATAAGACAGAGGAGATGAAATACAACATCATTGGTTTACAAGAACCAATTTCCCCTTAAACAAGCCTTGCTAACTGACTATTTCTATCCATCTCAGGGAAGCAGGAATAGAATGGCTTGGAAAGGTCTACATTCATTGCACATCCTTCTGAACAGCCCTAAATAAAGGTCAACATACAGCATTAGTCATTAGTGCAAGAAATGTGATTACAACTGTATAGGTCTCCATCCCTCTCCTCCTTCATCCCTTCTGAAGGTTAGAGCACCTATCCTCTGTCGTTGAGAAATTTACAGAACTATTCTGTATTAGCTAAGTAGACAGTGATAGTTTCATGCAATATTGTGCATGTATTAGCTTTCAAGCTTTCTGTAGCTAAAGCAAATATCCATTTTATTCTGCCTAACGAAACACTTCTAAGCTCCCACGTGTGCTTCTGCAAACAGTAAATACTATATGAACTATTAAAAAAGTTTAAAAAAATTCAATGGAGGTACTAAATTCTTCCTCTAAAAATAAAAACAAAGGCTGCAAACAAGGAGACAACATTCCTTAAAAACAAACAAATCCTCCAATTTATATGGCTAGCAGCTTACTGCAATCCTTGCTCAAATACTGAAGAGAGTTATTTGAATTTGCCTTTTTCCCCTTGGCACTCAGATAATATAACTGCTGTGGAGAGGCTGCAGAATTAAAATACAGATCCTCTGTATATGACACTGCATGTTGCTGCCATGGTAGTAACTATAATTCTGTAAAATCAGCATCAGGACTTTGCTGTCTGTTCTCACTTGAAGAAAAAAAGAATTCTAAGGGAAGAAAATTAAAACCAGAATCTTTCAAGTTTTTTTTTTATAATACGTCAAGAAGGCATTGTATTTTGCAAAGTGCAAAATAAGAGGAATAATGTAAAGCATTTTGTTACATAAATGTAATAAATACACATTTCAAGATGTTCATCATGGTTCGCAGTCAACTAAAGTTCATCTTTCAAAAATAATACCACCTTGTTATATTCCTAAAAAATTGCTTACAAAATTGGTCCATGGCAGTTGCTTTGGATATTTTCAAGGACTGACGGTGGTGCTACTTCTTTACAGAGATAATGGTGGGCATCCGCAGTTAATCTGTAATATCCATCAATTAATGATACAAAGGAGAGAGCTTCTCTTAATGACTGAAATTCAGCCTCCTGTTAAATTGCCAGGGAACAATAAGGGCAGGGGGGTGGGAGGAGAGAGAAAGAGAGAGAATGAGAATTTCAATTTTTAATACGCAACACAAAATTCCTGGATATGGTAATGGTACAAAACATATAAATATATGCATACATTAAAGATATCCATACTGTTTTTACCTACTGTTTGTGTAGTTCTACCTTCCTATTGCCACCCAAAACTTGTTAGCAGCTTTCAATGTTCAAAATTAAACCCAAACCAAAGAAATCTGCCATAAAAACCCCCTTACTCTAAATATATGAAACAGTAGAGGAATGCTGACAAGAGGAAACATTTGAAAGGGAAAAACTGAGTAGATACAACTCAGCATGGCAGACACCTACTGCACTGGTATCACAGTGTTGGTTTTGTTTTGTTTTGTTTTTTTTTTCCTAAAGGAAAGCCTTCGCTTATCAAAGATTTATGGGGCTGCCTTCAAGTAGCAAAGAATAATTTCTACAATACCTGCCTGAAAACTTAACTAGTAGTCAGCAAAAACTGGCATCCTGAGCTGGATCATAGACAGAAGGTGACCTTTAACTACCATGAAGAGAGGTGAAATGGATGGAAGCAGGGAGAAGAATAACGTGGCCAAAGGAAAACAGGGTGTGGAAAAGGTCTATGCAAAGTAAGTTGAACAGGTAAAAGCAAGGCAAAATTAAATCCATGTGTAACAACGTATTTATTACTGCCAATAAAGGAAAATAGAGTCTATTTTTATGTAAGTATCTATATTTTCTTAATATTGTGACAGTTGTATGAGAGCATTAAAGGCTGTCTTTACTGCAACAGAGAAGTTGCCGTCTACTAAGTCACACTAGATTTCATTCAGTAGCGTAGCCCAACAGAACAGGTTTTAGTATGTGCTGCACAAGTTTGCTCATGACACTGGGGATGCACTTAGTGGCTGAACACAATTCCTTGGCAAGTTCCTTGCTAGACAGCAATAAAAAAGCTGGTGCTTCTGATCACACGCCAAGAATTTGTTTGGAGTCTTCAAACTCCTCATTAAAAGAGGACCTGGAAACAACTGTCTTTCCAGTTGTTTCAGCATGATCAGAAAACCCACACAAAAACCAGACATAGAAATTCAGCCATTTTAATCAATCCATGTATCCTAGAACTGTGTAAACTACATTTCTATAATGAATTCTACTAGCTGTGTAACAGCTTAAACTATCACAAGTTCTAATTTACACATCAGCTAATTCTGGTGTGTAAAATGTCCACACAAATCCCACGCAAAACAGCAGCTACTGCACTTCTTTCTACTCTGCCTTACTCTTCAGTAGCTTTCTTAGACAAGCTCTTAGAAAGTTGCTTTTACCCTCAGAAGCATATGTAGTCAAGTACCTAACTACCACTATTGAGAGTTTTTATAAGAAAATTTTAATGGCTCAAGGTTAAAGAAGCCTCCTCCACCAATCTGAAATACTGTTCTGCTCTCAGCATCATCGATGCACATCACAGATATTCCAGCTACTCTTATGTTTCAATAAAAAGCCTTGAAAAAATTTCAGATACTTAACAGGTCATTAATTCTATGCCATTAATGCAGGAAATGAATGCAAATCACAATTCTACTATAAGTGCAATGAATCATATACCTTTTTCATAAAAAAAAAAACCACCATTAGGGAGAGAATAAAACTAGTTAATACTTATTGAAATATTTTTGAAATTTTAAAAAATTATTTTTACAGTAAAGAAGTACATAAGCTGTACACAGCTTTTTGACACACACACAGAGAAGGAAGCTCTCCGGTCATACAAATGCCTGAGTTGGGGACCCTGAAGGCCCACAGATCAGCCACAGAGATAAAGGAAGAAACGTATTGGGTTTGTGTGGCAAGGTTTTGGTAGCGGGGGGGGCTACAGGGGTGGCTTCTGTAAGAAGCTGCTAGAAGCTTCCCTTACATCCGACAGAGCCAATGCCAGCTGGCTCCAAGACGGACCTGCCGCTGGCCAAGGCCCAGCCCATCAGCAACAGTGGTAGGACCCCTGGGGTCTCC